CTTATGTGTTTGTGCCTTAAGTGTCCAAGTGTTGATCCAGTGCAGAGGACCAACCGCTCGCGAGACAACACTAACAACACAAACAGAACCACTCCTCTTACACACAACTCTTTCAGCCCAAATTATTCTAAAGTCGCACACTCATCCTTGGCTAAGACCTAATCCCAACCATTCCACTTACACCCACACCACACACACATTAACACACTTAATACGGCTTCGGTGACCATCATTCGGGCTCGTGGTATGTAGACTGGCATCAGCTGGAGCACCAATCGGACATCTCCTAGTAAGCCCCTCTTTCCTCCGCCTTCCAGTCTCCCCGGCTGCCTACGAGCCACTCCCCGGATGGGTGGACAACCTGAACGGACCGACTGGCCTGATGATCGGCTGTGGAAAGGGCGTGATCCGCTCCGTGCTGGTGAACCAGAAGAACAAGGCCGAGGTGATCCCCGTGGACTACGCCATCAACGGCCTAATCGTCATTCCCTACGAGTTCAACAAGCAGGCCAAGCGCCCTGCCAACGTGCCCGTTTACAACATTACCAATGCGGACCACCGGAAAATGTGCATGGGCACCGTGGTGGAGATGAGCAAGCGCATCAACAAGCAGATCCCCTTCAACGCCGGCCTCTGGTACCCGGACCCCTGCGTCACCACCAACCACTATTACCACAACTTCAACGTGGCCCTGTTCCACTGGCTGCCCGCCTACTTCCTGGACTTTCTGATGCTAATCCTTGGCCAAAAGAGATTGTAAGTTGCGGCGCCTTGGATTGCTGGATTGGGGTCATGTTAATCCTTCAAATTCTTTAGCATGCTGAGGGTGCAGGAGAAGATCTCCACTGGTCTGGGCGTCCTCCAGTTCTTCACTCTCAATGCCTGGTGCTTCCGCTCTGAAAACTACGCCTCGCTGTGGAGCAAACTAAACGAGGAAGACAAGGCTATGTAATTTTGGCATATTTATCGAACATCAACAGGGAATAATAACATTTTTCTATCTCGTTTAGCTTCAACATGAACATGAACACCAAGGACACCGAGGAGGAATATATGATTGAGTGCGCCAAGGGCGCTCGCAAGTTCATTCTTAAGGAAAAGGACGAGGATATTCCGAGGGCGCGCGTGCATATGAAGATGTGAGATAGGAAAAAGCTTTGCTGGTAGCTAACTTACTCGGATATTTGTTGTTATTTGCAGCCAATGGGTCGTGGACATCGTATGCAAGACACTCATCGTGGGACTGTTCATCTACTACCTCCTCAAGTGGACGGGGGTGCTGGCTGTCTTCTGAGTCCAGGTCCCGATGGACTCGTGATGGTTTGGTGGTCACAGGCATTTAATTAGTATCTTAGCTTAGTTGTAAATACGCATATTCGAGGTTTTGAATCCAAATAAATGATACTAGGTTGTTGAATATACATATGTAGCACCTGACCCGTGTTTCTCTGCCCCATCCCACTCGCCAAGAGTTTAATTTGCGGGCTTATCTGACGTGTTCTTCGTTCTCCCAGTAACTCCAGCTGTTGCTGAGCCCCTGCCAGGTTGGGTGGACAACATGAACGGGCCCACGGGAGTCCTTATTGGCGCCGGCAAAGGAGTCATCCGATCCATGATCTGCAATGGAGAACTTAAATCTGAAGTCATACCCGTGGACATCGCCATTAACGGCCTGATTTTATTACCTTACCACAACAGTCTCGCGGAGAAGAGGTAAGTTCTACTGTGCTACCCAAATCTTTAGGTCTATGTGATGTATAACCTTCGTTGCAGACCTCTCCAGATACCTGTCTACAATATGACCGTGGACGATGCCAAAAAACGCACATGGAAATGGATAATGGATGTAGGTCGTGACTTGGGAATTAAGTATCCTTTCGAAGTTGGACTTTGGTATCCCGATGGCAACATGACCTCCAGTAAATTCTATCACACCATCTGCACTATCCTGTTTATGTGGCTGCCAGCATACTTTATCGACTTTCTACTCCTGATCTTTGGACAGCGTCGCTTGTATGCTTATTATGAAAAGTCGGCAGGAGCTAAGACGATGATAGCCTTGTTTCCTTTTATTTTAGTATGATTCGGGTACAAACTAAAGTCGCTGTGGGTCTGGAGGTTTTGCAGTTCTTCACAACGCGAAGCTGGGACTTTAAGTCTTCACACTTTGAGCAGATTTACAAGGAACTAGGCGCAACAGATCGAAGAATGTAAGTGCAATTAATATGTATTTAATAGTAAACTACATTTACTTGATAGTAAACTAATTTTACTTTAAAAAGATTCAAGATCAATACCAACGATGTTGACGACCATGAGTACATGAAACTCAGTATTTTGGGTGGACGTCAGTATGTGATGAAGGAACCTTTGACTTCGTTGCCCAAATCCCGCATACAATTGAGATTGTAAGTATTATTTGGCCCCCATAGATAGTTCGTTACCAACCTCTGTCTATTCTAGCATGTATGTTCTGGACCGTATTTGCAAAACCCTTATAATTTCTGGTCTGCTATACTGGACTTCTCAAAAACTGGGAATAACCGATCTGGTTAGAAACAAACTCCGGTTTAGTAAATGAGCCATCGTTCTTTGGGAGTTAATTTTAAAAGGTTTAATCTAAATCAGGTCAAATATATTTAGGTGTTTTGTATCCGTTGACATACAAATTTCTGTTAATTGTAAAAAAAAAAAAATTGAGTACTTGGTTGTTTTCTTTTTGCTGTTATCAAGTGTTTCTCTGGGTTTTAATATATATAAATTTAATAAATTTAAAATAAAAATGCTGCTTTTAATGAGAATTAACGAGTCTAACGAGGTTTGACCCTCCAATATTGGAATTTAAAAAAAAAACAAAAAAAAATACAATTCTGTTTTGTGCAGCTAAAGACCCAAATTATTGGTCCCAGGTTGATTTGAAGAAATTTCAACATTCCAACATTTGACTATTGCTGGCCAGGAATCAATAAACCGGAATTTGGTGTTAATATATTCCGGATTTTGGCCATAAATAAATGGCTTTTTGTTCTAACTTACACGCACAGCCAAAAGATTGACTGTGTTGTGCAGCTGAAGACCTAAACTGTCATTTTATTTTGGTTTTTGCAGTTTTTATAATGATTTTCTCATCATAATTTTTAGCAAAACCCCTTTTCTACAATAAAAATTCAAAAATTATAAGGTGTTTTTAATATGGAAGTAGTTTTGTTTTTAATTTTAATTTTTTATCAAAGAATCTTTGATTTATATTTTATAAAAAGCGAGCAGGCAGTATGAACTCCAATCGAACAGTCCTTAGGATAATGTATACCTTGATGGTGCTAAGTGAAAAAGTAATATCTTAAGTAAACTAAATGAGTAAAGTATGCTAAAATTTGTAAGTAATGCTTATTATATCACTATATGAGCTGGAAATTGTCAATTTTCATTGACGAAGGATTAGTATCCTTTAGCTTTTGCGGCTTTGGTCTGAACTGTGCCAAATTCTATGGAAAAGAATAAAAATGTTAAATGGGCTAAAACAGCACAAGATAAATCTTGATCGAGAACAATTTAAGATAGGGAGGAAGTCTTATCCTTTTGCACAGACAAAAGCTCTTTCTTGGATCTTAAGAGATCGTTTTTACTTGTCCCCTTTATATTATGTTCTTTTACTCAACTGGGAAAGCAGTTTTCCTAACTATAAGCATTCTTAATGATGCCACCATTAGTTTAGCAGCCATATCTGGTTTGCTCCAAATGACCTGCGGTGGGTTTTTTGAAAGTATTGCGGATAAGTATATGAATTAATCTGCTTGTCCTTTGAAAATATGTTAGATTTTAACTTATTTTATCGGCTTCTGCTGCTGAACCTTGTATTACAATCAAAGAATCATAAAAACTGTTAAGAGCTAGTTATAGGAAATAAAAAACAAATGACGTCGTATTATTATACCCTTGCAGAGGGTATTATAATTTGGTCAGAAGTTTGTAACGCAGTGAAGACCCTATAAAGTATATATATTCTTGATCAGGATCAATAGGGAGTCGATATAGCCATGTCCGTCTGTCCGTCTGTCCGTCCGTCCGTCTGTCCGTCTGTTTCAATACCGTTTGCGAGCTCAGTTTAAAAGCTAGCGATCTGAAACTTTCACAGTCGTCCTAAAACAAGTGTACGCAGATCAAGTTTGAAAACCGCCCCGATCGGATGTCTATATCCTATAGCTCCCATAGGAACAATCGGATATAACTTGCAAGAATGGAAGATATTTCGCGCAGTGTAAAAGCTATTGACATAAATCTTTCCAAATCTTATTTTTTTATGCGTACCTTGATCAGAGTAAAAGCGCGTGACGATCGGACGTCTATATCCTATAGCTCCCATCGGTTAAAATTTAATGATTTTTAGGATATTTCACGCAGTATACAAGCTATTGACATGAATCTTTCGAAATCCTATTTTTTATGCATACATTGATCAAGGTGAAAGCGCGTGCCGATCGGACGTCTATATCCTATAGCTCCCATAGGAACAATAGGGTGAAATCGGTCCAAATTTGATGATTATCAGAATTTTTCGCGCAGTGTGTAAGCTACTAACATAAAATTTTCCAATTCTTATTTATTTACGCATATCTTGATTAGGGTAAAAGCGCTTGCCGCTCGGAAGTCTATATCTTAAAGGAGATAGGAAAAATTGTTAAAGGCTGCGAAAGTATCCCTTTTTTCTATTTGTATATGACATTTTTGCAGTATAAAAGCAATTGACTTGAAACGATGCAAATCTAGTTTACTTATGTATACCTTATTCCTTTCGCTACTTTTTCACTTTTAGCAATTTGTCAAAGTCTGCAAGGGTATTAAAACTTCGGCTTGCCGAAGTTAGCTTCCGTCCTCGTATTTATTTATTTTTAAGCATGGCGGTAAGCCGCCGAAGTGTGCCCAAACTTGTCAGCTTATCGATAGGCATAAAGCTCTGCCCGTCACGATAACAGTTCCCACTGTTAGCTTTCTGTTAATTTTTAATTTCTCTCAGTTGCCCGCCACTTCACTTTTGATGATCAGGTTACAGAATGGGTTAGTCGTTGGCTGGATATTCACGAAGAAGGTATTGATCGCGTCAAAATTAAAGTGCGTTTTGTGTTAAAGGGTTTAAAGTATTTTAAAAATTAAAGAATTTTTTAAATTATGATAAAAAACTGCTTTGTTTTAATGACGTCGAAAACAGCTAATTAATTGATTGCATTGCATTTGATAAATTATTAATTTGGAATTTATTTTAGTTTTTGTGGCTCCAGACATTAACATTTATCATTATAATTGAAAAAGGACCAAAAATGGTCGTTATGGACCCTAAGAAATTATATGTAATTACTTAATTTATCTTGAAGTTCAAAATCTTCCTTCGGCCAGACTCATTGTGTGGACCCGTAGAAATTATCTGTAAATACTTCATTTATTTTGGAGTTCCGAATCTCCCTTCGGCCAGACTATTTTCCAGATTTTAACATTTATCAGTATGGGCTGATACGGCGCTACGTCTTTAATGAATGAAGTGAAAATTATCTGTAAATACATTGTATAGAATTTTCTTTTTTCAGCTGATAGGCAACAGGGGTCACGCCGATTCGGGGCTCAATGCATATAATGTGCGGGACGATGATTGGCCAGAGGTCAAACGAATCCTGGCACTGCATTATGCCGACAAGAGAGATGTCGGGACCTTAGAATACGAACTCATGCAAATGACCCAATGGAACCAAACGTTAGAAGAATTGTATGAACAAATCAACAATCATGTGTCCCTTATTATCAACCGCACTAAAGGCAGCAGCGACGACAGCAGCGACGGCAGCAGCGACAGCAGCAGCATCGACAGCAGCAACAAGGCAACGGAAGACGGTGACCGCCCGCTAGCTACTTCAGCTAAAGCCGCGGCCCTCTTGATAAGTACCCCCACTCCAACCGATGACTGCAGCGCTATCAACTTGACCCCAGCTAAAAAGTTGGGCTGAGCAAGCGCTGCCATCGGTGTCGCAATTTCCGACGCGGCTCTGGACCAAAATATGCTGGTGCAACGGGATCTGCAGTCCGCAGCCTGCTCAACTGGGAGTTTTTAGAATACTTTAGATTTAGTTCAAGCCATACCGCCAAATGGAGCAGAACAACTTTTTTATTCAATAAAACCCAATTGTAACGTTTGAAAAGGTTTACTGTTTTTATTTTAACTTTAAGCCTTGTATAAAAAATAATCTAAATACCGATCGAAATAGAAGGAAGGAAGACCGGAGCTGAAGATCAAAAAAGGATAAGGAATACGACAATTAGGTAAAGCCAAAATTTTTTATTTCTGGCAATTTTCCTTTGTATATTTAGTCTTTATTTCAAGTGTTTTATAAATGTTGTAAACGTAACTGACGTCCCTTCGACGCGTGGTTTACTTACTCAACAGCCAACCCACATAGACATTGCTCATCCGCCCCGTACCGTCTTTCTCTTTGCAGACCACAGAAATGGCCTTAAGCAACTGGGGCTTCATCGATCTGCAGGCTACGCTGAGTGCAGCTTTGGTCAAGAAAGACATCCGGCTGTTCGTCGAGGCACTGGACAGCGGTGCACAGGCCGCTCTGCAGGACGACCGCCACACATGCATCTACGAGAAGGCACTATCCACACCAGGCTGCTGGGATTTCATAGAGGCCTGCATCGACCACGGCTGTCAGGTCAACTATGTAAGTAGTACTTCCAAGACCTGAGATCGGCACCAAGCTAACCATTTTCCCCCTTCGTAGATTAATCAAAAGCTAAACAAGGCCGCAGTCAACTATGCCGCCGACTCAAGGGATCCCGGAAACCTGGCCGCTCTCCTGAGAGACCGCGAGGGAGCAAAAGTCCGAGTGGATAGAAAGTACGCCCAGCTCACCCCACTCAACTCGCTGGCTAAGAATCTCACAGAAGATAATGCCTCAGATGTGCTCTCCTGCATAAAGCTGCTTTTAGACTACGGCGCCTCGCCGAATTTAATTGACCAAGCCGATTTCACGCCTCTGCACCACGTGTTGAGGAAAAGCGAGGTGAAGGCTCAGAAGCGGGAGCTGGTGCAGCTCTTCGTAAATCACCCTGAGCTGGACATCGATAGCCATCGCAATGGAGAAGTGCGCCGGCTACTGGAGGACCAATTCCCGGAGCTGGGATTGCCCAAAGAGCGCCTGAGCGGTACAGAGATCGACGTACAAACTCTTCGCCAGACTCTGCTGTACGGAGAAGAGAGCCTGTTTAAGACGCAATTTGCCGAGTACCTCCAGAGTCACGAGGGCAATGCGGACAACCAAGAGGAGTTCTTTAGCCTTCTGCGGGTGAGCGTTAAGCAGGGCAAGCATAATGCCTTCGAAGCCATCATTGCCTCTGGAATCGACATTAATTGGAAGCCCGGCAAGACCAAAGAGGCCAATATCGTCGAATTGGCCGTAATCTGTGGCAACTGGCAAGCGTTGGAACGACTGCTGAAGGAGCCAAACCTGCGGCTTGACCCCAAATCCAGTTTACTGAATGCGGTAATCGGTCACCTAGAGGAAAGGCCATGCGAAAGCTCCAACCATCAGCGCTGCTTTGACTTGCTCCTAAACAACGATTGCGTGGACGTTAACGAGGCTGATACTGGTCGTCAAGTGCCCCTTTCCTATGCGGTGAAATACCGAAATACGACGGCTATACAGAAACTCCTAAAGCACGGCGCCTACATTGGCTCTAGGAGCGTGTTCGGAACGCTGCCCATCAAGGACATGCAACCCGAGGTGCTGGAGGAGCACTTTAACTCCTGCATCACCACAAATGGAAAAAGGCCCGGTGAACTTAAATACGAGATCAACATCGACTTCAAGAATCTGATTCGTCAGGAGAGAGACATTGGAGTGGGTAAGCCTGCCGCCCCCTCCAATCAACTCCACGACGAAATGGCCCCCATTGCTTTCATAGCTGAGACGAAAGAGCTGCGCCACCTGCTGCATCATCCGGTGATCTCGAGCTTCCTCTTCCTCAAGTGGCACCGTCTTTCCGTGATCTTCTACGTTAACTTCCTGCTCTACTGCTTCTTTACCGCCTCAATCATCACCCACACACTTCTTAAATTTCACGCGAGTGATCACAGGGCTCTTACCGCCCTATTCTTAGTTTTTTCCTGTGTAGGGATTGGCTATCTAATTATTAGGGAGGGGTTCCAGTTCATGATGTTTCCAGTTCGGTATATTTTGTCCATTACTAATATTATGGAGGTCGCTCTGATAATACTATCTATATGTACCTGCATTGAATCCAATTTCGACAAAGAGACGAAGCGCGTCTTGGCTGTGTTCACCATCCTGCTAGTCTCCATTCAATTCTGCCTGTTGGTGGGCTCATTACCAGTGCTGTCCATTTCAACGCACATGCGCATGCTTCGGGAGGTCTTAAGCAGCTTCTTGAAGTTCTTTGCCCTCTACTCGATATTTGTATTGACCTTCAGCCTGTGCTTCCACATCCTCTTCAGTAAGCCAATAGAGGAAGGTGGGGCCTTCAACACGTTCACCAAGCCTATCGAGGCCCTGATCAAGACCATTGTGATGCTGACAGGCGAGTTCGATGCAGGAGACATTAAGTTTACGAGTTTCTACACCTACCTGATCTTCCTGCTTTTTGTGTTCTTCATGGCGATTGTGCTGTTCAACCTGCTGAACGGTCTAGCCGTGAGCGATACCCAGGTGAGTTCACCAATCTTCCAATTCCGAATTCCTTGGCTCATTCCGTGTCTCGTTTGAATCAGGTTATCAAGGCGCAGGCGGAGTTGAACGGGGCCATCTGCCGGACCCAAGTGCTGAGTCGGTATGAACACGTTCTGACTGCACACGGACGAGCTGGGTTCTTGATGGAATTTAAGCTTTTCCGGACTATCTGCCAGCGATTGATGAACGTTTACCCCAACTACCTAAGCCTGCGTCAGATTATCGTGCTGCCGAACGATGGCAGACAGGTTATTATACCCACTAATGATTCCTTCGAAAAGAGGAACGATGGCAGACAGGTTTTTATTTTCATTAATAATTCCTGCGAGATGAGGACGTTGGAAGGCAACAGTCAGGCCGGTAAGCCCCAGAAGAAGTTTCTAGACCCGCCTCTGAAGCTCTTGACCTGCTGCTGCTCCGGATTCACTGGAAGGTGCTCCCAGATGGACGTTCGGACGGTCAAGATGGCCCTGGCGGTGATCGACCAAAAGAACAGCGCGGCGCAGAGGCGAAAGAAGGAACAGATCAACGACAACCGAATGAAACTGATCGAGCGCCAGTTAGAGCAGTTGATACAGCTGGGCCAGGAGCGAAACTGATGGAGACTCGATCAGGTTTTTTATTTAGACTAATCCGCTGCTGAGATCGCATTTAACTTTTTATACCCTTGCAGAGGGTATTATAATTTCAGTCAAAAGTTTGCAACGCAGTGAAGGAGACATTTCCGACCCTATAAAGTATATATATTCTTGATCAGCATCACCAGGAGAGTCGATCTAGCCATGTCCGTCTGTCCGTCCGTCCGTTTCTACGCAAACTAGTCCCTCAGTTTTAAAGCTATCTGCTTGAAACTTTCCCAAAAGTTGTCTTTCTATTGCAGGTAGTATATAAGTCGGAACGAGCCGGATCGGGCCACTATATCATATAGCTGCCATATAACTGAACGATCGGAAATGCCATAACTTTGGTGTTATTAAAGTTAGGAAGTTGGGATTTTTTATGGGTTTTATTTTTGGCCAATCAATCCGACCTACCAAATTTCATAAGGATCGGCCGACTATATCCTATAGCTGCCATATAACTGAACGATTGGAAATGCCATAACTTTGGTGTTTTTAAAGTTAGGAAGTTAGGACTTTTTATGAATATTAAGAATACACCATATGAATAATTTCGAAGAATATAATTTACAGAATATTCTGCAAGGGTATATCAACTTCGGCTCCGTCCGAAGTTAGCTTTCTTTCTTGTTTTTATTAAGATATTTAATACATTTCACTATTAGGACCGATTGTCGCAGTTTTTTTAATGACTTTCTCATTTCGATTTTTATACCCTTGCAGAAGGTATTATAATTTCAGTCAAAAGTTTGCAACGCAGTGAAGGAGACATTTCCGACCCTATAAAGTATATATATTCTTGATCAGCATCACCAGGAGAGTCGATCTAGCCATGTCCGTCTGTCCGTCTGTCCGTCCGTCTGTCCGTCCGTCTGTCCGTCTGTCCGTCTGTCCGTCTGTCCGTCCGTTTCTACGCAAACTAGTCCCTCAGTTTTAAAGCTATCTGCTTGAAACTTTCCCAAAAGTTGTCTTTCTATTGCAGGTAGTATATAAGTCGGAACGAGCCGGATCGGGCCACTATATCATATAGCTGCCATATAACTGAACGATCGGAAATGCCATATCTTTGGTGTTTTTAAAGTTAGGAAGTTGGGATTTTCTATGGGTTTTATTTTTGGCTAATAAATCCGACCTCCCAAATTTCATAAGGATCGGACGACTATATCCTATAGCTGCCATATAACTGATTGATCGGAAATGCCATAACATTGGTGTTTGTAAAGTTAGGAGGCTGGGATCTTCTATGGATTTTATATTTGGTTAATCAATCCGACCTACCAAATTTCATAAGGATCGGCCGACTATATCTTATAGCTGCCATATAACTGAACGATTGGAAATGACATAACTTTGTTGTTTTTAAAGTTAGGAAGTTGGGACTTTTTTTAAGTATTAAGAATGCATCATATGAATAATTTTGGAGAATATAATTTATAGAATATTCTGCAAGGGTATATCAACTTCGGCTCCGCCCGAAGTTAGCTTTCCTTTCTTGTTTAAAATAATTCTTTTTTACAATAAAAATTTAAAAATTTACAATATGGACGTGACTTGTTTTTACAAAATCAGATGGGAGTGTTGGTCTTAGCATTATACATAATTGAGTTTATTAAGATCCGAATAAAACAATCACTTCTAAAACATGTCCAGAAGATGAAATCAAAAACACAAATGTATGTTGACTTTACTTTAAAAGTGAGATTATATTAGAGGAGCTCTAAGGTGTGAGGGAGAGACGGCCCCAATCAGAGTTTATGAGTAACTTGTGGATGTTCCCTATATGCGCTTTAGCGGATCCACCAGCACCAGGTAGACAATTAAAATTAAAAATGTTACACTGTTACAATGTAGGCACTGGCCAGACGAACAAGCAAACACAGCGGCGGCAGCCCGGCGAACTCCTTTTTTAAAAATTGATCATACCCAGTGTGTATCAGCTCCACTTCAATGGTCTTCATTGGGTTAGTCGGTATTTGTCGCACCCCTTTTGGCTGTCTCAAATACACCACCCCCCAAATTCTATTGCAGATAAATATAATTATAAATCTGCTTTTCCTTTGAAAATATGTTAGATTTTAACTTATTTTATCGGCTTCTGCTGCTGAACCTTGTATTACAATCAAAGAATCATAAAAACTGTTAAGAGCTAGTTATAGGAAATAAAAAACAAATGACGTCGTATTATATTTATTTATTTTTAAGCATGGCGGTAAGCCGCCGAAGTGTGCCCAAACTTGTCAGCTTATCGATAGGCATAAAGCTCTGCCCGTCACGATAACAGTTCCCACTGTTAGCTTTCTGTTAATTTTTAATTTCTCTCAGTTGCCCGCCACTTCACTTTTGATGATCAGGTTACAGAATGGGTTAGTCGTTGGCTGGATATTCACGAAGAAGGTATTGATCGCGTCAAAATTAAAGTGCGTTTTGTGTTAAAGGGTTTAAAGTATTTTAAAAATTAAAGTATTTTTCAAATTATGATAAAAAACTGCTTTGTTTTAATGACGTCGAAAACAGCTAATTAATTGATTGCATTGCATTTGATAAATTATTAATTTGGAATTTATTTTAGTTTTTGTGGCTCCAGACATTAACATTTATCATTATAATTGAAAAAGGACCAAAAATGGTCGTTATGGACCCTAAGAAATTATATGTAATTACTTTATTTATCTTGAAGTTCAAAATCTTCCTTCGGCCAGACTCATTGTGTGGACCCGTAGAAATTATCTGTAAATACTTCATTTATTTTGGAGTTCCGAATCTCCCTTCGGCCAGACTATTTTCCAGATTTTAACATTTATCAGTATGGGCTGATACGGCGCTACGTCTTTAATGAATGAAGTGAAAATTATCTGTAAATACATTGTATAGAATTTTCTTTTTTCAGCTGATAGGCAACAGGGGTCACGCCGATTCGGGGCTCAATGCATATAATGTGCGGGACGATGATTGGCCAGAGGTCAAACGAATCCTGGCACTGCATTATGCCGACAAGAGAGATGTCGGGACCTTAGAATACGAACTCATGCAAATGACCCAATGGAACCAAACGTTAGAAGAATTGTATGAACAAATCAACAATCATGTGTCCCTTATTATCAACCGCACTAAAGGCAGCAGCGACGACAGCAGCGACGGCAGCAGCGACAGCAGCAGCAGCGACGGCAGCAGCAGCGACGGCAGCAGCAGCGACGGCAGCAACAAGGCAACGGAAGACGGTGACCGCCCGCTAGCTACTTCAGCTAAAGCCGCGGCCCTCTTGATAAGTACCCCCACTCCAACCGATGACTGCAGCGCTATCAACTTGACCCCAGCTAAAAAGTTGGGCTGAGCAAGCGCTGCCATCGGTGTCGCAATATCCGACGCGGCTCTGCCGGGACCAAAATATGCTGATGCAACGGGATCTGCAGGCCCTTGAGTCGGCGGCATGGCTGACTGCGGCCTAGCTGATGCAGGCCTCTATGAAATCCCAGCAGCCTGGTGTGGATAGTGCCTTCTCGTAGATGCATGTGTGGCGGTCGTCCTGCAGAGCGGCCTGTGCACCGCTGTCCAGTGCCTCGACGAACAGCCGGATGTCTTTCTTGGCCAAAGCTGCACTCAGCGTAGCCTGCGGATCGATGAAGCCGCAGTCCATTTCTGTGGTCTGTTTTATAAATTTTGTAAACGTAACTGACGTCCCTTCGATGCGTGGTTGTGATTACCCAACAGCCAACCCACATAGACATTGCTCATTCCGCCCCGTACCGTATTTCTCTTTGCAGACCACAGAAATGGACTGCGGCTTCATCGATCCGCAGGCTACGCTGAGTGCAGCTTTGGCCAAGAAAGACATCCGGCTGTTCGTCGAGGCACTGGACAGCGGTGCACAGGCCGCTCTGCAGGACGACCGCCACACATGCATCTACGAGAAGGCACTATCTACACGAGGCTGCTGGGATTTCATAAAGGCCTGCATCCTCAAAGGCTGTGGGGTCAACTATGTGAGTAGTACTTCCAAGACCTGAGATCGGCACCAAGCTAACCATTTTCCCCCTTCGTAGATTAATCAAAAGCTAAACAAGGCCGCAGTCAGCTATGCCGCCGACTCAAGGGATCCCAAAAACCTGGCCGCTCTCCTGAGAGACCGCGAGGGAGCAAAAGTCCGAGTGGATAGAAAGTACGCCCAGCTCACCCCACTCAACTCGCTGGCTAAGAATCTCACAGAAGAAATCGCCTCAGATGTGCTGCATAAAGCTGCTTTTAATTGATCAAGCCGATTTCACGCCTCTGCACCACGTGTTGAGGAAAAGCAAGGTGAAGGCTCAGAAGCGGGAGCTGGTGCAGCTCTTCGTAAATCACCCTGAGCTAGACATCGATAGCCATCGCAATGGAGAAGTGCGCCGGCTACTGGAGGAGCAATTGCCGGAGCTGGCATTGCCCAAAGAGCGCCTGAGCGGTACAGAAATCGACGGACAAACAAATGGTCAAGTTGAAAGAGTAAATAGAAGCATTGGCATTCAGGAGCTCTCCAGTCAGGATGGCCGAATTGTCGCAAGCAGTCATACACACATGTACATACACACCTACACTTAAGTACTAAGGATCATATTATACACACATACTCTAAGTTAAATTCTACAATTATTAGCGAAAATCACTGTTTATGTTCCACTCTTGTGAAATAAGCAAAGCATGCATAATTACTGGCCCCAACACCTTATGTGGACTTAACGCCGGATTACTGGCCGATACTGGTAGTACAGATAATAATTCTGTAGTACCAAAAAGGGTTGCATGTGTTGTACCAAAAACGGTTACTTGTGTTCGGGTGCCCCAGCCAAAACATGTATTTGTTTCACGGCTTGCCCCAGACCTCTCATCACTGAATATTATTTGAAGGTCGAACAATTTAAATTCTCTTATGCTAGGAAAGTATCATCATTTAAGATTGGTATTCCTTGTGTTCTTTTTGCATCTGTGTGCTCCACCAGTTTCTGGCCCGAGGGCATATTTGTAAAAGAGTACGAAGCTAAGAGGAAAAAGAATAGTTCAGGGGAAATGGAACCATCCCCAGCGCCCTCCACATCCTCTTCTATCCCAAAAAACTAGCCTCCTCTTTTCTTCTTTGCTATCAGAATACAAGAGGCTTACTTAGTAAGCTGACTAAATTGTATTCGGATAGTTTTTCTTTCCCATATAATATTATGGTATGTACAGAGACCTGGTTAAGGCCGGATATTCTTAGCTCCGAAATTCTCCCGGGTAAGTACACAATTTATAGGCTTGATCGTCAGTCCAGACGGGGAGGTGGAGTCCTGATTGCTGTCGACTCCACCTTTTCGTCTGAATTACTAACTTTCGAAGAATTTTATGACATCGAATTCCTAGGTATAAAATTATCGTTTCCCGGTAGTTTTGTATATATTACTTGTTCATATATCCCACCATCATCTGAGTTCCCTATTTACGCAAATCACCTTTCCGTTATTCAGTCCATTTCAAAAAAACTGTCAGATCGAGATCAGTTAATAGTATTGGGTGATTTTAATATACCTAGTGCGACATGGTCCCCTGACGAAAACTCTAACATTTTACTTCCTTTAGCGCAGCATGACTTTATTGACGGCTTGCTTGACATTGCGCTTCCCCAAGTGAACCATGTTAGGAACTGCTTAGGACGTTTACTGGACTTGTGTTTTGTTTCAAATTCAGAAGGCGTTTGCCTATCAAGACCGTCACCACTTACACAGCCGGAAGATCCTTATCATCCAACTCTAGAGCTGACTGTAAACGCAAGAACAGAGCTGAATAAAAAATCCGAAAAGTCGGTTAAACGAATCCGCTGCTTTCGTAAGGCAAACTTTCATCTTTTAAATACTTTTATATCCGGCTATGACTGGTTCGAATTGTATTCATGCACTAACGTGGCTAAGGCCGTTAATATCTTTTATAATGCATTGAATTCTTTCTTTTATCTGTGTGTTCCGTTATACTATCCGTCAATTTCAAATAAACCTCCGTGGTTTAATAAAGAGTTGTCACACCTAAAAAATATTAAGTCCAGACTTTTCAATAAATTTAAAATGTGCGGTTCACAATCTGCCTTCTCTCGGTACCTAAGGGCTCGGTCAAGTTTTATCGTGCTTAACGCCCGGTGTTATAAAAGCTATTTGACTCGTTGTAGGGTCCAATTTTCAGAAGATCCAAAACAGTTTTATAATTTTGTTAACACTATGCGTAAGTCAGCCTGTTACCCTGCATCGCTATCATTCGAAAACTCTACGGCAAACTCTGATCAGGCAATTGCCGATCTATTTGCCCAGTTTTTCCAGACAACATATTCTGTTTCATCCCGTCCAAATCCGTCTTATTCAAATGCCATACCCAAGTCGAACTTGATTTTTTGTCCGAGGTTAAGCGAAACCTCCCTTCTTTTGGATCTCCATAAAGGTAAGCCAGTCTATTCACCGGGTCCTGTGCTGAAACTCTGTGTAGACCACTGTACAAATTGTTTACCTTGTCTTTAAAAACATCTCATTTCCCACTTATTTGGAAGGAGTCATTTGTCATTCCCCTTCATAAGAACGGAAATAAATGCAATTACATAAATGCAAATTACAGAGGCATATCCAAATTATCCGCCATCCCAAAGCTTTTCGAAAACACTATTACACCCCATTTGCAACATCTTTGTAGATCGATTATATCTCCATGTCAACATATATTTATAAGGTGAAGATCTACGACGACAAACCTCTTGGACCTAACGTCTTTTGTAATAAATGGCTTTAGAAAAAACATGCAGACTGACGTAGTTTACACTGATTTTAGTAAAGCGTTTGTTTCAGTAAATCACTCGCTTCTTAAATTAAAGCTAGACTTATTAGGGTTTCCATGTGATCTTCTAACATGGATCTCAAGTTATCTGAGTGGTAGGACTCAACGAGTCCTCTTTAAAAACTCGATCTCTGAATTGATCCGAGTTACTTTAGGCGTCCCACAAGGAAGCCACCTTGGCCCACTTCTCTTTACTTTATTTATAAACGATCTCCCTCTAGTCTTGACAAAGTCGCGTGTCCTTATGTACGCAGATGACGTTAAGTTATGCCTGCAATATAACGAAATTTCTAGCAGTTCAGACTTACAATCTGACCTAAATGCTTTTTAAACATGGTGTTGTGAAAATCTTTTGGATTTAAATAGCGAAAAGTGCAAAGTAATGACATTTTTTCGGGTGAACCCACAATATGCAACGTATACGCTGGGTGGTTGGGCGTTGTCTAGAATTACGCATGTTGATGACCTTGGTGTCCTCCTTGACCCAAAACTTAAGTTTTGTGACCATATTACTTCTATGGTGAATAAAGCCAGGGGAGTACTTGGATTTATTAAAAGGTGGTCAAAGGAATTCAATGATCCCTACGTTACAAAGACGCTGTTCATTTCACTAGTCCGTCCAATCCTGGAGTACTGTTCAGCAGTTTGGAGTCCTCAGTATGGTGTACATGTAGACCGGATAGAGTCTGTGCAAAAGAAATTTATATTATTTGCTCTACGGGGCCTTAACTGGAATGCCAGTCTTATTTTACCATCCTACTCTAGTAGACTTCTCCTAATTAATCTACTATCCTTAGTAAACCGTAGAACGATGCTTGGCACAACTTTTATCTATAAACTTAATCACGGGAATGTGGAGGGTCCCGAGTTACTGGGTCGCATAAGCTTTTCCGTGCCTAATAGAATTACCAGGAACTATGTTCCTCTTACATTAAATATTTGTAGATCTAACTTTGATTTGCATGAACCGTTTAGAGCACTGTGTAACGACTATAATAGACTATACCATATTATTTCTACTACCGACTCTTTGCCAAGCCTAAAACATTACTTTTATCTTACTTAGCACAAAATTAGTATTAGTATTAGTCTCGTACGTATGTATTTCTAACTTAGTCTGTCCGCTTCCATATTGTCCTTTTTCACTTCTCGCGATCTCGTTTTTACGCGCGTAACAAGCACTGCTTGGTGTCGTAAGGGCCACTTGTTTGCGCTGATCATAGTGCATCAACGTCCGAAATAGTTAAAAAACTGGCTTAAACTATAAATGCCACCAAATGCATTTCAAATTTGATATGTTTCTATAAAGTTGAACCTGTTAATTAATAAAATGAAGCAAATTTTTCTATTTGATACCAACTTTTATATACCTAATAACAATTGGTTCATTTTGAACAACTGTATGAAACTTTAATAAAAACAGACCAAATTTGAACAATACAAAATTTTTGTTGTCTGCTAATTTTGAATTTTGAGAACGTAACCCCTTATTTTGTACTGAATCCATGTTTTGCTTAACACGATTTCGTTTAACACGAGGATTTCTAGGAACGTAACCCCCGTGTTAAGCGAGGGCCAAGTGTATATACTTTGTAGAAAATGTGTCATTCACTGCAAATACTGTGCCCAGAATCCGGGAGAATGCATTTGATATGACCTCTAAGAAGTAAAAGTAACCTCCTATAATCCCTATCCTGTAACCCCTCCCGAAATGTGCGTTAGTTAGTTGATAGTCTAATTGTTATTTTATACGGATACCTAGGCTTCGTTTTGCAAGGAAGCAGACGACTGTTTAAAATGGTTTCTGGCATAAACCATAACTCGAATTTCGTTTTCATAGAACAAACATAAACATACCCATTACTAGTACAATCCATCTCGAATTATAGCGCACATAGGCATTGCATTGGAACACAGAATGGTGGGATGTGGAAAGAAATGACCTAGTAGGGAATCGAGTTGAGGTTGACATGCAGGTAACGTTGAACATTAGAGTTCAAAGACTTAGTTGTAGATTTCAGCTAAACAACTTAATTTAAATATGCCTTCTTGTATGTTTTTCGCCGCTCGAATTAGCACCTTGGCCAGCTGTTCCAAAGTCAACCGTTAGATGGCGCCATGAAAGGCGGAAATGTAGGCGCTAGCCAGGCTTAATGGGTTTTTGAGCGTTAGAGTGGGCGTGGCCAACTTTTATTAGGCCAATCGATAGGTATTGACGAAACAAATACACATCAATTAAAATTTTCATAATAGCATCAAAACTGTGGCCACAGCTTGTGGCTTGTGGGCGTCAGAGGGGGCGTGGCACCATTTTGAAACAAACTTGCGCTGTGTAGGAACTCCTAAAATCTACATGCAAAATGCCAATCTTCTCGCTTTTATAGTTTCCGAGATCTCAGCGTTCATACGGACAGACAGACAGACGGACAGACAGACGGACAGACGGACATGGCTAGATCGACTCGGCTAGTGATCCTGAACAAGATTATATATACTTTATAAGGTCGGAAACGCTTCCTTCTACCTGTTACATACTTTTGCACGAATACAATATACCCTTTTACTCTACGAGTAACGGGTATAAATAGAAAGAATCACAGGAGGGGTGGCTACCGCTTTATTTATATATTTGCAATGGCGTGCTAAACGATTTTAAACAGACGGATATACAAAGTATATATTAATGTTAAGTATTTTCCTTTAATCAATTGAGTTTCCAAATTTTATACACATACGCAGCGTGGGCCATCCAACAGTCCATACCCAAAATAAAAAGAATCACAGGAGGGGTGGCTA